TTTTTTTTAATATTCGTAATGTTTTTCGTCATTTTTTGGTTATTTTTTCTATCAAAATACCAAATTCAAGCTTTAACTGAAACCATATAAACCACAGTTTCAAACTTTATACAAAATTTTGGAAAATTTAACCAATTTTAATTAAAATTTCAACTTTATAGTCTGAATATTTGGAACTTTTTTTGGGCATGCAATTTTATAGCTCATGTTGTCATATTTTTATGGAAAAATAGAAAAAAAAAATTAGCTCGGAAAAAATTATGAATGTTAAGCAAAAAATCTCACGTAGTCACTTGTTTGAGTCACTGTATGTGGGATGCTTAAGCATGGTACACTACAAAACTAAAAATATTAGGAGGCTTTGAATTAAATAAATAAAACGAAAAATTCAACTTAAATCTAAATAGTTTATGTCTCCATTAATTCAGGCTAAACAACGAAAGGTTTGACATATTTCTTATACGCTGAAAGAGAATAAGGATATTATCTGCGAAGGACTTTTATAAAGATCTCTTGTTTACACTTTAGCAACAACTTTTAAGTAAAAGATGAAAAACTTGAAGTTGGCCCAAAACATATAAAACGAGCCTCAACCCCTGAAGCCTAAATCGATCAAATCATTTTTATGTGAAAATTTCAACTTCATGTATACAAATTTCTACACAGGTTTATATACATACACGTATATTTATTTGCTTCCCCATACCAATAATGCTTATGTATGAATTTTATAAATATTTATGCGTGTAAAGCAGCACACTCCATCCACTTGTTTACATTTACGTTTAAGTCGAGCATGCCGAGAAATGCCGTTGTTTGCACGAAACGATCAAATCCATTAAAATTATTTACGCTTGTGTTTCTTTATTTGTTTGCTCAGCTTTCAGCCACGCAATTTCAGGTCCTCATTTCGGTCACCTATAAAGTTATGTGTGGACAGAGTACCATAAACGCGTAGCCACCGTGTAACAATTTTTTACGCAATACGATGCTGTAATGTCCCTGCAGTGAAAACCCAAACCAGTTAGAAAAAATACTAGTTCATAAACTAGTATGCGCCTACCAGTGCGACATTTTCGAAGAACTTAAGCGTTCAGCGACATCTGCCTTTGAATTGCCAAAGCCTAAAATAAAACGCACGCGTCACGTGAAGACTACTGGTTCTGGTTCTGGGATCGCAGGTTCGAGGCCGCTTGGAGGTGGTTAAGATTTTTAAAGTTAGACCACAGAATAAACAGTATACAGAAGACGCACCACATACAAATTTATTTTTCTTCGGCGGACGTAATATTACAACCCGGACCAGAGCAGAGAAGTTAACATTACGACCACTATGAATAACATGGCGACCCGGAACAGAGCAGAGGAGTTAACATCACGTCCACTATGAATAACATGAAGTTAACATCTCGCCATAAACACACATCGGGATCAGCGTTGCCGCGAGCTGGAAAAAAATGTATCAGTTGCCAAGCAGAAAAAGTATCAAAAGCAAACAAAACTGTTGTTTATTAAACTATTATTTAAAAAACAAATAATAAATAAAATTTTATAATTAAATCCATAGTTATAAAAAAAATTATATATCTTGCTTTTGTCTGCTTATTTGCATAATGAAAAACAAACTTATAGGGACCCTAAACCACACAAAATCCTTGCGCAACCCGAGACTTGTACAAGTCAATATTGTGGAATTTACTACAGCATAAAATTGCGCAAACCTTATTTTGAAGAAACGTTGCTCAAGTAAATATGTGCAAGAAATATTAATGTGCGTTGTATATATTGATAGCTTCATCCTTAAAACGTAAAAAAAAACTAAATTCAAAAAAATATATTTTTTTCGATATTTCGTAATGTTTTTGTGTGGTTTAGGGGTCCTATAACAGTTATAAGAGTTACCCAATCAACTTATAAATATCTATATATAAATTGTGAGACTTCAAATAACAATAAAAAAATATTAGCCTTTAGACTAGTAGTACTATTCATAGTTTTCGAAAATTCATTTCTGCCAGCCGAAAGTATCAAAATACGGCATTTGGGAACAAAAAAGGATCAGATATTAAAATTTAGAAAAACAGTATTAAAAAATATACAATTGTACCAAAACGGCAACGCTGATCCTGATGGAAAACGTAGTTAACATTTTGTCGTCATAGCGACGATGGAATTAACATCGTCAGCCGAGTGAAAATACTGCTAAAGTAACAAAGGCAGCGCCGCTTGTGATACCCTTGCTTGCCTCACCGCTCGTGCCATAAATTCAAATTGGTTGGATAGTCGACATGCGTCTTCTGTATACTGTTTATTCTGTGGTTAGACCAATGTAAGTAGGAATAATTATTTCAGTTTAAATATAAATAACAAACTAAAAATTTAGTTGCATTGCAAAAAAAAAAAAACAAATGTATGGGAAGAAATACTTGTGCCATAAAAAATAGATTAAAATTTTTTTTTTATTAAATCTAAGAATTACAAAAAAAACCGAAATAAAAAATATAAATAAAAGAAACATTATAAAAATAAAATAAAATTAAAAAATTTTCCCTGCGTCAGGGCTTGAACCGGGTACCTCAGGCATACCACGCGAGTGCTTTGCTCTGTCGGCCATTGCGACTGTTGGAGCGCCGCGAGCAAAAAGGCATGCTAATGCTTTTCATGGGATGAATTGGCAGACTATCTCATCAACTGGTATGATGCTACTAGTATTTCTACTAGTAGATGCTGATGCATAGCTTGACAATTGACATCTCGTAGGACATCGCAATGTTAAAAATACCAGTTGCTAACATTGAAAAAGGATAGAACGTGAACTAGTTGGGCTGAAACGCAAACTGGTAGAATTCTAGTTCACAACTAGTAGCTTTCCCTGCAGGGGTGCTGCTGTCCGCGAATACTCACACACGCCCTGTCACACAATTCAAGCGTATGTAGGTAAACACCACGTATGTATGTGTGCTTAACACTTTCCCACTCGCCTTTCTACAAAATATTTCATTGAATGCGGTTAATTTGTAACGCCAATTACTATTTGCCTTATTGTGTGTGTAACCCTTTTTATTTGCTTTTATTCTTTTCACTCAGCTTCATCCGTTTTTTTTCTTCTCTTTACAGCGACGATGACATTTCATTCATTTTACCCTGGTGGCGCCAAGTGCTGTGGTCTATACTATTCGGTGGGATGGTTATTGTGGCGACCGGCGGAAATTTAATTGTCGTTTGGATTGTTATGACAACGAAAAGAATGCGAACCGTTACCAATTACTTCATAGGTGAGTCATATATTGTTGAAGCATAAATTAAAGGGGAAAAACGAAGTCTCTGTCAGCCATAAATGAAATCTCGTTAAAGCGGCGAGCGTGTGTGCGTCTTGTTTTTCTTACACTGCAAAATAGTTTAATATGAATACTATTTTTAAAAAGAGGGTCGTATATGTTCGTGCACATACTTACGAGTCGTCGATGTTTTTGCAAAACCGCCTAAATCGCGTTTGTGTCAAAAATGAGATTTGGTAACCCTGAACTCCAGGCATGGAGATTTATGCATAAGCCACTATATAAATAGCTTTTATAACTTGGTAAAATTAATGTTTTCTAATAGAAATATTTGGAAAAATGTATTTTCATAAACCCATAAATTAAAAAAGGCACCCCTTTATAATACACCCCTCAGTCGTGGAGGGTTAACTTTTTTTGTTTTGCAAAAATATGGGAAACTATAAGCCAATCAATAAAAAAAAAGAAATTAGCTACAATGTACTGCGCATTTGCGCCCAAAAAACCTTATACAAAAACTGCATTAAGTTCACTATGTAAAGAACCACACTTACATGATCTAAAAGAACCACTTAAAAACTTAGACGGCCGTATTAGGTAAATATTTTCACTATTCCCAGCCAGAAGATGAAGGAGGGCGATCAGCAGTGGGTTTTCGTATTTAAGAATAATTGATATAACCTAGCAAAGATTTATACAAAAATTATAATACTTGAATATTTCAGCAAATTAACGCACAAAGCTCGTTTTCTATAAAAAAGCATAGCCTTTACAAAGCTGATTTTAAAAAAAAAAAACAAAAAAAAAATGGTTGCCTCTTTATTGTTCACTTCAAAAGTTCAGCTCGATTACGACCGTAAACAGCGTTGTTCATTTATTCTCCAGATAAATATTTCCTGCCCTTTTCCCTTCTTGCCCATGGTCATTTGAAAATAGACGCCATGCTGTGTTGTGGTTTTCGCGAAAAAAAAGTTTAAAACTTTAATTAATATTCGTTTACATACGTACATATTTATGTATGTGTGTATCTATGAAAAAAAAAATATCTTTCATGTCAAGGGTGTAGTTAACAAGCGTGTTAAATAGCCTTTGTAGCGCATCAAAACTACGATTGTTACACAAATTGCTTAGATGTGAGTTTGTTAATATCCATTTAGGATAAACTTCTACACCTAACTGATGTGGTTCTAATGAGTATGGTACTTATTCGCGTTGATTCTTTTTTTTTTTTGTTGAATGTTAGCAACTGGTGAATTTAAAACAGCTATGTACATCGTAGCGTCATTTGTTCACTGCTGCATAACTGTTTCGACAGTCGGAGACTAGTATGCATTAACTGCAACTTATTCGGATTAAGTCCGAGTTAATCCGGATCAACGCTGCCACCTATCTAAAAGTGTAGCAATTTAAATATACATATATATACGTAGGTTAAGTAAATTATTGAAACACGTTTAGCGGTAATACATTTGAGGAGATTTGCCACATACATATCATATCGTCGTTTAAAGTACAAAACCGCGTATCGACAAAATGCAAAACCGCGTATATGAGGTTACATAAAATATTTTCTAGAGAGTAAAAACACTCATATTTCAAAATGGTTGTCTTTTTTATAAAGCAATCGCATTTCTGGATTGAGCCAAGAGCTTGTGTGCGCAAATCCAATTTTTGGCAGCAATTTTCAGTTACGCGGTTTTGCAGAATGACGATACGTGGTTTTGTTTTTCATAATTTTGCTTCCGTTGATTTGAGAACACACCTTTCATCTTATGAAATGATAAAGCTTGCAATTAGAAGGCCTGACTAAACTAACTGACTAAAGTTTCTTTTTGCTTGAAATGATGTGTGGGGACTTATAAATCGATAAATTAAATTATAATCAATCAAAACGGGAATTTTGGCTTTTAGTTTAGTAACGGCTTTTTGTATTTCAGCGACGATGTGAGATAGGGCCTTTCTATATTAGGGTAACGATTTGTACGTACTTAAGGAAAAATACAAAAGTTAGATGTTTCGAAAGTATGAGGGTACCGCAGAGAAGTAACAAGCAATAATGTGCCATTATATTTTTAATAAATTGCATGTTATGCTGTTTTATTGTTTTGTTTTTAATCAAATTTATAGTAAAGACTAGCAGACCCGGCGAACTTCGTCCCGCCCAAAATTTTTATATATTTTATTGAAACTTTTTGGTCCAACATTTTCACCAACAATTCAGGTTTACGATTTTCATTGGCACATTTGTCTGCTAAGATTAAGGTTTGGTGGTCATTTGCAGCTTTAAATAACCTAAGGAAAGTGTTATATCCGTTCTTGAAATTCTCCAGTTGTGCGGCATTTCATAGCACGGTTATTCGCAAAGCGAAATAAATTTTTT